CTTCCTCTCCACCCACCACTGCTGTGTGAGCCTGACTTGCCACTACTGTGCAGGCAATCCTCCCCCATCACTGCCACATCAGCACCCTCCTTCCTCTGCCTTTCCTCCCTGCTGTGCGAGCCCACCTGCTGACATCACTATGCGGGCAGTTACCCCCTCTGCTGCTGCAATGCAGGCAGTATGAGCACCCTCCGCTGGTGCTGCTGCACAGGCAGCAAGCTCACCAGGCCTTCCCATCATGCTCTTCTCTTCCAGGGACCACTGCCACAGCCAGAGCAATGGGAGCAACAGAGGCCAGACAGAAGTCTGGGGCCATACTTTAATCCCTTGCAGGCTGGATGCAGTACAAGGACCACTAGCTAGACAGCCCTACACTAATGAAATACCTCAAGTAACTTGCGTGTTCTTACCATAAGCACGTACCAAGCTTCTTAATGGGGCATATGTATATCATAGGCTTATGGTGAAAATCATTAAAATATATAAAATATTACTATATTATTAGTACTATTTTGTAGCATTCTGTTGGTCCTGAAATACTCAACTCGGATGTATGTGTGGAAGGTGTTGTACAGCATGACCTGCTGGAGAGAATACGTTTGTACTACCTGGGTACAAACCCAGAAACTGAGCATATCAGAAACTGATATTTTGTTCCAATATTTTTCCAGTCTTTTCCACCCAACATGTTGACTCTACAGAAAGAAGCCACACGTCATCTGTCAATGAATGTGCAAACATAGTTTGAACCAAAAAAACTGGTAAGACTCTTTTAGTTGAATTGGGATAATCAGACCCAGTAAATAATATAAGATAATAAGGAAGATAATAAATCTCTTCCTTTTTGTTTAGCTGCCCTCAAATTTAACAAGTAGGGTAACTTACAAGCCATGAAAAATTAGCATGCTTTGGAATTTGGAGCACCCTTCCTAGATGCATAATCTTCCTGAGGTGATATATTTAGGAATGACAGCAAGAAATACAGCATTATGCCTGTGAGTGAGCAAAGGGTGGATTTATGGCTCTGTTAACATGGCAGCATTTAAAGAAAGCAGGCCAGATTCTTCGCTGAAAATCTCTGTGCAGCTGAGCAGATCTTGGGTCTAAGGGATGATTTAAGCTATGCTGACTGAATCAGTTGCACAGGACTGCAGAGTGTAGGAAGTGATACTCTGCCTCACCCCTTCCCCATTTCTTCCAGTTCTCAGGCCAAAGTTAGCCTGAGAGAGTCAAGGTAGTAAAGGAAGCCCTACCCATCTTCAAGTCAAGTCAGTCCCAAGGCTGCTGCAGCCACTGGGGCACCTTGGATGGTGTAATAACCTTCCCAGTTTAGTTGAGCTGCTTTGTATCATTGGTGATGCTTCAGGCAGAGCGACCTGATGGTGCTCATCTCCTCTCCAGGTATGGATGGTCGTTGGCTCACAATGCGTTCATCCGCCCTTTGACAGGTCTTGTTTTCAGTCCTGTTGGGTGTCCACATAGCCTCCTCACCCAGGCTAGCCCAGGTGGGGGCACCAGTTTAGTCACCAACAACTCAACCATAGAGCAGGCTGTACTGGTTTACCTGGTACCAGATAGCAGACCAAGAGAGGCTGGCCTGACAAGCACCTACCCACCTTACTCAGCTAATATTAGCACAGCTGCAATACTGTGAAAGTAAATTCAGTGAAAACAGACAGAGTCTGATAGAGAAAACTTGTCACTCCCTCATCAGGGTGCTAAATCCTCTACATCCCCACACATTCTAGATTAGTGATTCTCCATCAGGGTGCTGGGGGCTCCCGGGGTACTGCCAGATGCTTTGTAGGGTACCGCAAGCTGTGAGGTGTACAGAGATAAGCAGGTAAGCTAAGTAGATAAATGCTGGCTCAGGCTTGTCCTTGCCTGAATGACCTCTCGCCCTCACTGCCAACCCCTCTGCAGGGGGGTAAGCAGAGTAATATGTGAATTTGTTTTTGAAATTGAGTGCCATTCAATTCACAAATATTATGGAGGGGTGCCTCAAGTCTAGCGAGGGGTGCCTTGAGTCCCACAAAGTTGAAAACTACTGTTCTATATGTTGATTTCAGTCTAAGAAGAACAACGGAAACATCCCTAAGTTGTTTGGTACTTGAAAATATAGTTTCAGATAAGTGGTCAGGCAGCTCTCATAGCTAATCTACAGGAGAAAGTTGCAAGGGTTAACTTTCAGCTGAACTAGTGCAAGCCCCATATGAACATAACTAGAAGTACTTCTGAAACTGAAATAAGTAAGTGGAAATGACTGAACTTCCTAGCCAGATATTTCTACAGGATTTAGCACAATGCCATAATACATGTTGAGATCTCTTAAAGTGATTATTATTGTTTTGAATTTCAATAGCACCTACGGGCCAAAACCATGAATTAAGACCATACTCTGCTAGGCCTAGTACAAACAAAGAATAAAAATGCAGTCCTGCCCTGAGGAGCTCACCATGTCAACATAATAAAGAGAAAACTGGTGACTGCAAAAAAAATCAATAATGGAACAGGGCTCTATGTTGTGGCCTGACCAACCCAGTATACAGCACTTGATCTGCTAGTAGTACTTGATCTGCTCATACTTTCTGCTATGATAGAGGACACTGTCTATTACAGCCTGATGATTGTCTTAATCAGAATATTTACAGTTTACTGGAAGGTCAAAATACACTGGATTACACCATACGGTTTCACAGCACACACATTTCCTCATTCTGGTTCTGTTTAGGCCTTCATGCCAATTTTTTTCCCAGCAAAGCAGAGAAAGAAGCTTTCAGCTACTGTACTAAGATGTTATGACTGAATTTCATTAACACTAAGCTCCCTGGCAGTGCAAAAGGGTTGCAGCATAAAGGCGAATCAAGACCAACATGGTTTTTAAAAGAAATATTCATTTCAATGCCTGATTTAGCTTTTGAACCTCCAGACAGCTACATTTTCAAGAAACTGGTGACTTGACATATTCAAGTTCACCTCAGTTTTCTACCTCAAATTCCTTTACTGGTTCAGAAGCTGCACATTGCCCTTCCTCATAGCAGAATCCTAAGTGTGTCAGCCTTCAAATCCGCTGACATGTCACATACTGGGTTTAATGCCGTGACGTTAGTTGGAAATCCTTTCCTTTGATAATTCCCTCAGGGCCACTTCTCTGCTTAACTGAATTAGGGAAACTTGTTGATGTTACTTTATCCTACGCTAATTCTTTTTAATATTTTAATCCTTCAAATATTTAATTTATTATTTGATGTATTTACGAGGCATCCATAACATTGAATTGTGTCAGAATGACAGTGTGGGGCACCAAAGATCTTTCTTCATGCATATAATACAGCACAGCAGCAGCAATATGAACTGTTGCACACTGTAAGGCCATATCCTCAATCCTGACCTAGAACATAATTCTGTCTTTGTGCTGATACAATCTTTAATATACTGGTAATTACTGTGACTACCCATCAGATTGCAATATTAATGTCTACTCTAGTAGGCCACAGATTCACTCTATGGAGGTCAATGAACAGAGATATATTTCAGTCTCTACTGACCAAGACTGGATTTGAACTAGTCACCTAAGAAAAAACAGCTCCATATCTCATTAGCATGGACTTGTGTGTCCTCTGCTTTTCCTCTCTGTTGCTAATCAGAAATTCAAAATACAGCAGCGTTCTGCTAGAGTGCGCAGTGTCTCAGACTTTATAGACAAGCCACTATTCCTAGGAGAGAAAATACCCACATATTTCAGTTCAGCTACTTTTGTTTTTAAGGTGCCATATCTTTAGAAATCTCTTTGTCAAGCATGTGTGTTATGTATCATAGCCCCTAGAAGTTAATTACTAAGAAATAGGTACACAAGAGATGCCAGTGATAGCAAGGATCAGGTGAAAGGCACATCTATAATTCATAGCAATAAGAAATTCCTTTTGGTAATGTTCAATCTCTCTTATTAGAGACTAACCTGCACGATTCTACATCATCAGACCAGTCATCACATGAAACAGGAGGTTTCTGAACAGCATCAGTCATACTGGGCCCTGGCACAACAGGTACTTCATTATCTGGAACTCCCAGAGCATGATTGCCAGAGCCTCCCTCTGTAAAGCCTTCCTTGAGATCTTTGTTTGGTCTAAGATAAGATGAAGTCTGCAGATCTCTGTGGTAGCTTTTCCCTTTGTTTTTTCCATATTTTCTTGAGGAACTCCTTGCCTCCTGAGAGGACACTGAAGACTGCAAAAAGCAAGATTCTTTACACCTTGACACCTTTCTTCTCCGGTGATTTAAAGTCCGGTTATCAGAATCAGACACCTCTTGTTTCTTTTTCCCCGTTGTCCCATGAGTGACAAGTTCAATGGCTTTACTGTTTGGGGACCCATCCTGGTTACTGCATGATCTACTGCTCCTTCTCTCTCTCCGGGGCATTTTGACCTTCTCTCTGGATCTCCTTCTAGCCTGTGCCCACTGACTATCATCTGAAGATGATGAATCAGATGTCTCCTTGTGAAGTGCATTCCACCTGGAGTTTGCAACCTCACTGTGTAATTTGCAGTCTTTGCCCTTTCCTTGCTTTTCTGCATGCTCACCAGTGTCACCAGTCTCTTTTCTCCGCCTAAACCTTCGTTTCACTTGTTTCTTACCAGACTCCCTACTAGAAGGGGTCAGCACCATGACAGAGGCTGCATGTTCAAACTTATCTTCTGATGCATCATGCAAGGTGGCAGATCTGGACAAAAGCAGTAGGCACAGAAGAGGGTGGAAAATGGTAAAGAGAAAGAGAGAAAGCAAAAAAAGAAATGAGACATGAAAATGGAAACATGGATTTTGATTTAAAAGAAAAATAAGACTATAAAAGGAAAAACAACAAAAACAATATGACATCAAAAGAAAATCAAGACTGTGTAATGCATGAATTATGTTAGGCAGAAGCAAAAGCTACAGATTATTAGATAAAGACAATGAACAGTGAATGACCAGCAGATCAGAAAGATTTGTTCAGCACTTACCGACAGATGTCCTGTGTGGAAGGACAGACAGACAGCCGTGACTGGCTCCTGGGAGCTGTTCCTGTTGTGGGACTGCTTGCCTGTTGAAAGAAGTTAGATAATTTGGAATCTTTGTCCATGAAATACATCGCAGATATTTTATTGTTTTGCCACATGATTATAAAGTTGAAGCAATGGTTGCTGCTGGTCATGTTGCCCTTATGCACATATGCAAGTTTAAAAAAATACAGGAAGCCTGAACAAAAGCAAAACCTATTTGAGGAACTAAATGAGAGCAAAGGGTTTCAGCTTTCATTCACTAACGCATATCTTTTCTGTTTGAGGAAGAGTCTTTCAGTGGTTAAGATTTCATTTTGGTTATGATCTACTGTAAGTATTTGCTGGGAAGGCATATGATGTTGACTTCTATTTCAAGCAGAAAAACAAGTATGATGATCCTTGTCAAAATTAAGTGAAACATTTACATTATGCTGAGTGATGCTGGGCACAGAGGTTCAGCTAGTAAATCTGTGAAGAGTAGAGTGGCAGAACATCAGGAATATTAAAGCTTTTAAAAAAAGATTTCCAAGGCAATCAGAGCATCTGCAGGAGTTAAATGAATGTTAAATCAATGAACCTCAGAAGGTCCAAAGTGCAGGCTGTAATTCTACAGAACCTACTGCATTCACAAAGTGAGAGAGAGAGAGAGACGTTAGATGCATTTAGTGTCTTCAATTTCCCTCATAAGGTTGTCACTGCAATTTGCAAACTATATTGCTGAGTGCATCCAGTGAGAAACACTTTTTGATGGTGTTGATAAGAAACTATTTCAGTCGCCCTGCTAATTTATTGGCAAGCTAGCTGTAGAAGATCCAGATTTAGGCCCCAAGCATTCTGGTTTGCCAGAAGCCTGACAGAGGATTGCTTGGGGGCTATAACAGGAATCATAAAGACCTTTTTGTGGGGTCTAGCCCTCCCCCTCGATGATAAACGGTGCTATGGTTTGGTATGTAGTCCTGTAATGAGGTAGTGAGCACTATCCATTCAGTGGGAGACAAAACAGTGTGAACTTTAAGCACTGGGGGAAAAATATGTTCAAGGCAAACAAAGTGCATACAGAAGAATAAACATTAAATAAGAATTGTGGATCAGATCCCATATCTTTGCACCAAGTTACAGGGCTGGAAACAAACAAACAAACAAACAAACAAAATTATTGTACAAATCATTCAATCAAAACAACTCCTGGCTTACTTTGTACAGGTCAGGAAATGCCCGTTTTTATTTCAATCAGGTGTCAATTTTGTACTTATGAAAAAGCAAAAAAATTTAGTGCAAACTAACAGTTTTAGACAAGTATACTGAGAGTTTCCTGACTCATAAATCAGAAACATCATCAGGGCCCCTTAAAATTCATTAGGCAAAAGTCCACTATTGGTTGGCCAAAGTGCAGCTTGCAACTGACTCTGAATTACCAAGCTAAAGTGAAGGAGCAATTGTTAGCCCTGTGACCATGTAAGTGCTCATTATAGGAAAAGATAGATATCTGTACACCTCTAGGCAAGGGACATACATTACACATAAAACATATAAGGGAGCGGAAACTGGTTCAAATCTGTAACACAACAGAACTAGGGACAGAAGTTACATATAAACTGATTTAAGTGATCAGAAACTGGTTTAAACCTGTAACAGACTAGAAGATCAGTGCACTTAAACCAGTTTCAAAATGGCCAAAACTGGTTTAAGAAAAAGCTGGCTGAATATAGTATCAGACTTAACTGATTTGGGTCAAACTGCTTTATGAAACTTCTGTTCCAGACCACTTCCTGCTTCAAGTTAAATCAAAGTTCCCCACCATCCCAGGATGCTTTGCAGCCCTGAGCTGGGCTAGGCTGTCTGCTCCAGAGATCAGGGTTGACCCCACCTCTCCACTCCCTAGCCAGAGCAGTGAGGGCAGGCTGACAAGGGGGTGGGGGTGGGAAAACCAGCAGGGGACCACAGCTGGGTCTGCTGGGGGAGAGTGGGACAGCCCCTGCCAGACTTTTCCCTGCTGGAGCAGTGGGAGAAGGAATGGGGGAGTGGGCTGGCAGGCTCAGGGGAAGGGAGGGGGGTTTAGATCCCCTCTCCCCCTCAACAACCCCTGGCAGGCTATTCCCCGCTTGCGGCTGGAGCAGAGGGGCAGGGGTGTGGGATGGTACATTGGGGGGACCTCAGTACCGCAGGATGCTTTTCACCTCCCCTATAACTTCCCCTTGCAGAGAGGGCAGGATAACCTTGGCCTATGCTGTCTGCTCCAGCCAAGCAGGGAGGCATGCTCTAGTGCCCCCCTGGCTTCTAGTCTGGGCTGCTGCAGGCATGTGGCTGCATTTCCAGAATCAAAAGTGAATGTCTGTTTATCAGTTCAGGCTATGCAGCTACTAACCTGAAAGACTGAATTGATTCAGCCTTGGGCTTTTTAACTGTTTGTACATAGCCCTAGAAGGCAATTCTTTTTCTACAATGGGGCACTTTTGTCTTCAGAACAAGTAACAGAATTGTACCTATACTGTGACTGGGTCTTCTTTTGAACAGGGACCACCAACCATGATACATGAGACTGGGAACCAAGAAATGTAACTGCTTCCCTGGAATGGATTCTTGCCTTGTAATTTTACTAGCAATTCCAATCATGACAAATAAAATGTTTTATGAATGAAAAAGTCCAATTGATAAGGGTTTGTATGGACTCAGCCTTTATTTTCCAGGTGTTTTTCAAAGGCTGAGTTCCTTCTGCCTGTTGCAAAAATGAGATGCAATGTGTCATCAGGCAGAGGAAGTACACTAAAGTGTTTGCAACTGAATGTAAAAAAAATACGTATCAATGGGAAAACATTTTATGTTACTTATCTTTTTTCCTACATCAATGAACACTTTGATTAAGCAGTTTTTAAGGAGAAAATAAAATATCAATAAAGTCTGGGGAAAGATATGTTAGAAACAGCTGGTGGGCATATTCTCAGGGTTGTATTGTTTCTCCTCAACATCTGTGATCAGTCTCAAATAATAACTTTTGTCTTGTACAGATTGCATGAGTACTTATTACACTGCTGTCAATATTAAGGGAAAATGCAGAAGCCAGTGCCTGATTGAAGTTGTTGGACTGTGCAGTACCAGATGCTCAGGGGCAAAAGGAACATCCATTCAGGCCACAGAGCAGCTCAGGAACTGTTACCTGGAGATCACTCTAGACCATGCTAAAGCAGGCAGCATAAGTCCTTGGGCAGTCACCCTGCAGGGAGGAGAAAAAAAAAGCCTCACATAGAAGTGGATCTTCTATGCTTCAGAAAATGGGGCCTGCTCATAAATTGTTCCTAATGTGTTAAACACTGGATTCTTACCTGGATCCAAAATTCAAACTGTATTCAATACCCCCACTGCAACTGAATGGCATTAGTTCTTGCAGCACCATAGGGTCTAGACTTGATCTTAGAAGTGCATGGAATGAGAACAAGTCTGAATGTACAATAAATAATTGTTGCTAAAGCCACAAGAGAAAATTCTTGTCATTAATAAACTGTTAAATTTCTTCATAACATTTTCTGCAGCTTTTTCTTTAAAAAGAAAGATTTTGCAACTGATTTTTTGGGGGATAGGTCTTCACTGGAGATGGATTATCTGTATAATTTATGGACAATTCTTATATTTGCTTTTTCCAGCTGCATGAAGGCCAGTATCTGTTTAGCTGTAAAGAGCTGTGACCTGTGGGAAGACAGCGTAAATAAGACTACTAGATTTAGCACACAGCATCACACCACTGATCTGCTAATCCAACACCCTAATATATTCATGACTAAATTTAGAGTGCAAGACACCCTGGTGCAGAGGATTTAAGTGGGACTTAAAAAGATGCATAGGCTTTGTGTTGTTGCTCTACCCAGGAAGACTGACTCACAGTGAATTTAATACTCTTCATCAGTAGTTCATAGATAGATTGAATTATATTGCTTTGTCAATTTTAACTACAAATTTGCGCTTTTTCCTTTTTCTTTTTTTGGAAAACAAATTTCAACTTGTGGATCACTCATAAACTGTTCTTTGCAACAAATTCTTCAAGATTTGCTGTTTAAGTTGTATGACCTACTGCCTGCAACATGTATGAATGTTTTTTGTCAGTGATTGACTTAACCACTACAGATATATTCTGCTTTTGTTCAATATAGACTTCATTTAAACATAAAGCAAAGTGTACTTTTTGTTCCAGTGAATTTCAGCTGCAAGTCACTGTTGGTAAAACAGTAAATAGAAATTGGTGGAAACATATTTGTAGCCACAATCTATTTAAAAATGAACAAAATGTTTTTCAAGAATGGTCTTTATCCTGGATGAGTATGAATTATATTAAGAATTGCTTCATATATTGGAGAGGAAGGATAGTTCAAGTCACTGCTTTAACTACAGGTTTCCTGTGTGACATTTACCAATGATTTAGGTTGAGAACCTCAACATTATTTGAGACTGATAATTTAGGTGGATTTTCCTAATACAATCTCAGTCAAGGTAATGACTGCTTGAGGGAAAATATATACAACAAATATCTTGCTAATACATAACTGTAGCATACAGAATCATATTGCTATAATTTGGTCTTTTGCACACTATGATTATTTTGAAGCTATTGTATTTATTGAATGGGGATAAGATTGATACTGGGGACTCCAATTCATATGGCATGTAGAATAATGGATTCTTTGAAAATGCATATTCCTTTTATAGTTTCTTATTTTTGACAGCTTCATTGTATATTGCATTCAAATGGGAAAACTAAACCAGAGGCCATCTGTACTAATTTTATCATAGCAAATTATATCAGTAGCATAATTAAAGGTGGTAATTCAAAATTAGGTTGTCTGACAACCCATTTATAAGCAAGGCAGCTCATTTCTTCGTGACATCAAGGCTAGGAATGTGCTTAAGGGACGGTGCCAACTCCTGTTGATTAGGTTTGGCATTTTAAAAATTTCTGTTAGAATAGATTCCCTAGTCACCACCTCCTTGTGTCTGAACCAGTTTAGATGAACTCTTCTTCAAGAGTATGCAATTTAATTACCAGGGATGACAG